TAGATCATATCGTGATCTACCTTATGGAATATCCATGGGAGGCCTGCGGCAGAGAAACGAAAGGAGGTATATTCAGACGTGCTAATCACGTCTGCGGGACTTTCCTTATTTCTTCACCTCGATTTCCCCCATTTGCTCTATGCCGTAGGTTTTCCCTTTAAGAGGAGATCGAGCTGTCGATTTTCAGCTTCTGTAATCATCTGTTGTACACATCTTTTAAGTGTACAAGTTAAATATTTCAAACAGCTGACATCTTAACCAATTTTAAACATACTGCACATCATGTTATCTGTAACTTGAGCCTTGGATCAAAACAGGCAAAGTGTATTATTCCTAACAACGGGAATATTATTATTATAATTCACAATGTAAACACATATAATCAAAAATGGGAATAAAATCTATTTCCCCTCTTTGGACCAGGGTCTTGGATTACCAGTCCACCCAGTGAACTTGGGCCAGGTTAAAAATCCCAGTGGCAAAAACTCATAATTGAGAAAAAAAGCACATCTGGGTAAATTCTAAGTGAGGGCCATGACTGTGTAAACATGTCATCCCCTCACGTTGACAGCATTAGTGACTTATAAAACCTGCACTATGTAAGTAAATAGCTCAGGTATCGGGATTGGGAAACACTTCTTGATTAGTTTGAAAAGGCCCACTTACATATTAAATCATAAGATCATTTCTAATCAGTTTGCAATTCTAGCAATAATCCCAATCATGACCTTGCGTCCTATGCCTCCTAATCAAATCCCTATTTCGATAGTCCAGTCATATCCACACTTAATACATTGGAATCCATCCTTGGTACACTCAACATACATCAATGACACACATAGTACATCCATGCCTGAGTAAGCTAACACTTCCTCTCTCTCCGGCTAACTCTACAAAAATAAAAATAACAAAATAGTTCAATAGTCCAGCATAGTCCAGAAAAATATTATAAGTCTTTCAAGGAGTATAAAGAATCTTAGACACCATAAACTTTGTTCCATAATCTTAGACACCATAACATAGCTAAGGGTAGCAATATGGCTGACAACAAGACAATGTCAGCTTCCACATAGTTCTTAATTCTTCTGTTTGCTGGATGTTCACCACAATACTCTGTGCAACACCCCAATTGTTGAAAGGGTAATACAGAAATAGCGGCATTAGACAGCACTGCATCTTCAGGACTTTCCAAGTTAGTTTATGTCCTCATAAGTAAGCATCTCAGTTTCTTCGGCCAGCATGGTTTTTGACCAAACAGATTTAATTGCAAAAAAGGTAGGTAGGTCAGCCAGAGAGATTGGTGTGTAGTCCCAAATATCAGGCAGCACAAATACTCCAGTACGGTCTCTATAATCATACAAACACAAGGATCAGTACGACATCAATAAATTAATTATCTAGGCTAAACTCAAATTAGAGACTAAAGTTAAACTCTTAACTAGTGTAACATGTACGTCTCTCAGTTTTGTTTATGTCCTTTATAAAATTTTAATACATAATTTCCCTTTAAAATGCCTTGTATGGATGAGAGAAGCACTCATTCTATATAAATGCTTGTTGAGTACTAAAACACTAACATATACATATTGGTATAATTCCCAATAAAATGCTGTTCTTAAACTTAAACCTTGATTTGATAATCTCAATTAATTACTTTAATAAAATTTTGTGTACCCTGATAACATCTTTGGAAACCGAAACCTTTTATAGATCCCGATGTGTGTGATCATGTTTTAATACATGTTGGAACCTCCATACAGTTATCCCACTTAAACAATATTTTTTTTTTCAGAACAACTAGGAATGAAATAGGAGAAACAAAATAAATTACTATTGTTCTAAAGTGCTTTGTTTAATACAGGTTTCGGAAGAGTTGTCTTGCTGTGTTGCAAGTGGCCTCTGATAAGGAAGGGACAGCAAACTGTAGACATATGTTATATTAAGTTGCTCTCACTTGTCAGGTCTTGGAAACCCACTTAATTTATTGCAGATGCCTCTATTATACCACTTTACAAATTGACTAAGCATACTTATTATCCTATTTTATTTTAGTTATTTCACATTGCACAGCCTATGCAAACAATGTCTAGGTCCCAACTTCAGCTTGTACATCCTCTAAGAGCCAGCATTAATACTGTTTTATCTATCAAAGCTATATATAAAGTATTAAAAACATGAACCATCTGTGTATTAGGCTGAGGTTGTTGGGTGTGGGTATAGCTTGAAAGTTGGTTGGTATTGAGGAACCTGCCAGGGTGGGAGTCCTTGAATGCCAGCTGGGCCAGGTTGACCAGGAGAACCGGGTTCACCACAAGCACCTTTGGGTGAATCCCTGCTATCCATAATTAAAACAGTGCTGAAGTTACCATCTCTACAAAAGTTAAATCCTTTGATCAAATTCTCTACCTCTGCCTCTAAAACTTTTCTGATTCAATCTATCAACTCCAAACTTTCTTTGTCTCGCCTGCTTAAGATCACAATCCTTTTGTGACCGATACAACATACTTTTCCCTCTTTCTTTATATCCAAAACAACCTGCTGTATCTTTCTCATGAATCTTCCCAAGAAATTCAGTTCAAAGAGGGCCAGTCACAGACCAACAGTTTGACCAAAGGTGAACAAGGAGGAAGCATATTCCATATGAAGGTCGAGATGACTTAACTCACACCCCCTCTTTGTGTACACCTATTTGTGTACCACACAGATATAATATTAATAGGCTTTTGAAGATTTATTGTGCATGTATAGCACGGTTGTCTAGGGGTGTATACATAAACAGTGAAAGCAGAGTCTTCACATAGGGTTTGCAATACTGACAGTCTTTGTCATAGGTGTAATACAGACATGCGGTTAGGAACTTTTCCATTGTCAGAACACTAATATATTGCAAATATTAAAATCATATTGCATATTGCTGTTATAGTGCTATCCTATACATCCATAATTTTTCTTGTTATATAACCATATAACATAACACATTTTTCTTTTCTTAAATAATGCAATGCACTTTAAAAGTAGCGTTAACTCTAAATACTCCCCTAATAATACTGAAACGTGGATCCACGATTTTGAAAAGCAAATGATATATTTTTTCTTTTTCTTTCCCAGGGGCCCCTTTCTTGTTGGCTGATCAGCGTTTTTTTTAATCTGTTGTAAAAAGACACTAAAGGCTTGCGTTAATGACATGCAAATATTCTTTAAATATTCTTCATACTCATTGTAATATCACACATCATCTTATAGCACAGAAAACATGTAGCAGATATCCAGCAGACATGCCAATACAAAAAGCATATTCATGGACAGGCAATTAACTCAATCCAAAATAAATTAATAACTGTCACACTATGTGACAGACATAATTTGGTTCTCATGTTTGTGCATTATGCATGTCTGCAAACAATGCAAGCAGTACTGCTTTAAGATTAGATCAGAGCACCTGGCAACTGGACAGGAAAGTCAAATTTTGGCAGGAAGTCCATTATTGCAACAGAATTTTGGAAATCAGCTAAAATTTACAAAAACAGACTCCCTCTTTTTTTCTTTCTTAAGACTACAACTCATATTGCTCTTGGACTAGTATTCAATAATAAATCAGTTATTTAATAGATTACTACGCTGCCATTTTCATCTGTATCAATACTAAGACAAACTTATTCAAATATAATTTAAAATAACACAGCAAAATACCCATTAACATACATGACAATTAAACTGCGCACTTCAAAATGAGTAACCAAAACAAACATTTATGACAATCATCATTCACACAGAATAAACTTCTAACAGCTGTATTCAGAACATATTATTGTAAGGTATACCAATTCTAGTTTGTATCAGATTTATTTAAGATTTCTGGTACCAAAGGGTTTATTTTTTATTTTTTACAGAAGGGATCCCGTACGGCCATATAACGCGTTTGACTTAAACATTTGTATAACACTTGCATTAACCAGTTGCAACATATGAAACCTGTCAATGGAATTTCTCTCTTATACGCTTATAGAACATTTGGATCACACAGACATGGTATCACCTGCATTTGTCAGAACTCTCAAAGACTCAAAATATTTATACTACTCCATGTTAAAGGCATGGCAAAATTTTGACCGGTCAATTTGAGTTTCCAAAAGTCATATCAACACAGGTAAAAACCTTTGTCCATGGTTTTCTGATCCTACATTCCATGACCAAAATTTCAAACCCACTTCTTCACAGTTTGGGTCGCAAGCAATAAAATCTCAGCAACCCCATACAATAATTTACAGAATACATACAATTTAAAGCACATACAACATGTGACGTACTGGAATACTACAAGTTAGCTTACAGCACAATATGAAGCATGTGTTGGATTGCTGAAAATATACATTTTGCTCTCTAATTCATAATCATCTAAATTTACAACATGAGTTCTCTGCAACAAACACACAGGGCAGAAAGAATGTGGTGTTTGACGTTTTGAATGAAGTGACTTTTTGTCCCAATATGAAAATAAAGGGCTCATCATATAAACAAGCATACATCCCACTCTCATGGAAAAGTGTAGTGGGCTTATAGTACTTTTGACCAAGTATAAAAATAAGGGGCTCATTATGCAAACAAACATACATGCAGAGAAATCATGTTAGTTCTAGAATTTGTAGCCCCCCTTAAATAAACTCTAGTTTTTTTCTTATTCATCATCACCTTTACATGTACTTTTTACATTCCCTCAATTAAGACTTTATGCTTAAAATCAGCGTTGCACATCATAAAATAGCACATAAATTAGCAAGCCGGAGTAATGCCAAACATCCATCATACCTTTTAACCCCCCTTTTTTTTTTTTTTTCTTCATCTACGTTAAATAAATACCACAGTCCACCAAAGACTGGAAATCTGTTTTACAACCTACCAAAGGCAACCTCTACCAAAGAGGGATCTAGGGACGTCTCCCACATGTAAATGTACATCACAGGACATCACAGCCTACCAAAGGCTTGAAATTATTTTTAACACCTGGCCAAAGGTGAACCTCTTACCAAAGAGGAAATGTGCACAATAACTACTACTACCTACCAAAGGCAATCCTCCAACCCATGGAGTAATAGAAGTCTACCTAAGACTTAACAAAATACCATGTCTACCAAAGACATTATCCTGTGAAAATCCCCTTTAAAAATGTAAATAGTGAAAAACCCCATTAAAACAAGAAATGCAATGTGTGGGAGGATGGCAGAAGCAGGCAAAGGTCCCCAACCCCTTAAGGACACACGACAGAAATACTCCGTCATGATACCCTTAAATTCCAGAAGTTGTGTCCCCAAGGGGCTAAAGACCCTCTTACCTGCTACTCCGTTCCCAATTGCACCCAAAAACTTCTGACACCAGTTTGTGGGGGATAAAATCAGCCTGGGCCCTTTGTGGATGATGGATATTTGCCAACTCATACAGAGCTCTGGAAATTGGAAATGAATAGCAGAGACGTGTTCAATAACCAATTCAAATTGTATTCATACGTCAGTTATATTTATACCCCATTTTCATAGCAGGATGGGAGGGGGAAAAATGAGCATATGGGCGTGACAATGACATTGTTTTTCACAAGTTATAAACATCTGTTTTTAGTTATAATTCGATGTTACATAATGTATGCATATTGGATAAAACCCAGATGATTACAAATACCGAAATCTTGGACAATTAACAAGGTCATTCCAGAATCCTTATCATGTCATGTCATGTAAATAACAAAATCATGTTCCAATAACATTTCCCGTAAATAGATAAGTCATTGTGACATGAGATACAATTCCAAATTTATTCTTGATTCAAATGAACCCTTACATGAACAGTTAGGATATAGAGCAAAATGGATATTCATATCCTACAGTGAGGGGTACTGCTATGGGGACGGCTTGTGCCCCCTCATATGCAAACCTCCACCTGGGGTGGTGGGAAGACCAAGTGCGCCACTCAGACAAGTTAAGTGGACACCTATCTAAGGTCCTGTGGTGGGGTCGTTATATCGACGATATCCTGATTGTCTGGCAAGGTACTCCTGGGGAATTTCAGGATATGGTGACACTCCTCAATCAAAATGATGAAAACCTCTGATTCACATCGGAATTCGGAGGACGCTCTATAAATTTCCTTGATGTCACTATCAGTATCAGTGAAGACGGTACATTCCATTCCACGTTATTTCGGAAGCCGACAGCAACTAATTCCCTTTTACATTGGACTAGCCACCATCCGCGTCCCCTCAAAGAGGGTATACCGGTAGGACAATATCTTCGCCTCTGGAGAAACTGTAGTGACACTCAAGATTTTATAATCAAGGCGAAACAACTTCGGCAAAATTTTAAGGAGAAAGGTTACCCAAACCGATGTTTAAAAAGGGCTTATAAAAGAGCACTCCAGACTGAGCGGAGTGAGCTACTGTACGATCGTCCAAAAATGGACACTAATCAGGACGTTGGAAATATCCGTATGATAGCAACATTTGATGTGGGATGGCCAGAAGTTCGGAAATCACTTGAACGTTTCTGGCCTATCCTGCTCAATGATGTGCATCTCAAAGATACTTTAAGCCCACACGTTAATATTACATCCAGACGTGGACGGAATATTCGTGATTTATTGGTTCCTAGCCATTTCTCCATCAAACCACAACCATGCGCCACTTGGCTTGGTACTCCCCCAGTTGGAACATATGGGTGCGGTAGATGCGTAGCCTGCAAATTTATCCAGAGGGACTCTAAGATTATCAAGGACAGCCAGGGACGTGATTCTTTCCAAGTCAAAAGTTTCTTCAACTGTAACACGAAGGGCCTTGTATATTTATTATCTTGCACATGTGGACAGAAATATGTGGGAAAAACTTTTAGGGCTTTTAAGGATAGGATTATGGAGCATGTGAGATCTCCTAGAAATCGCCTCGAGACACCCATATCGAGACATCTCAAAGAACACCACCAGGGCAATTCTAATAATCTTAGGTTTTGCGGTTTGGAGTTGGTTAAAAGGACTTTGAGACGTGGAGATTATGATAAAATATTAAGACAGAGAGAGTCAAGATGGATATACAAACTTAAGACACTCCAACCTCTAGGTCTTAACGAGGGCTTTTCTTTTGCCCCTTTCATATAATCCGCTTCTCATAGGTTGCCTCTTTGAACAATATACACTGTATATATATTTGTATATACATGTATGCTTTATGTATACATATATACTTACATACACCTCCCTGTACCAATCTAATATAGTTATAGATTATAACTATAGATTGATAGGGATTCTGTTGTCTGTACTTTAGTATACTATCATTGGATAATGAATAAAACTATGTATATACTTTATACTTTTTTCTTTCAGCCTAGTATTATTATTTTATTTTATTTTATTTTAGTTTATTCAATTAGTTATTAGTGTTTCTAATACCACTCTTTTGTCTCTGTATAACATACGTTTGTGATCAACTCTAAATATGATGGGAACTTAATATATTATCTTTTCTTCTGTCATTCTTTTTTGTTTGCTGATTTATTTATTTATCTGTATATGCTGTTTGTACTTTCTATCCCCTTTACCTAATTTGTCTGTATGCTACTATTGTAGCACTTCGTCCCTTTGGGACTTGTTATATATATCGGCATAAGTATAACACTGTGGATGTTGAGTTCATTTCATACACATTCGCACATACGCATGGACCGATATACTCTAATCGGGTTTTTTGTTATGCGCATGCGCGGCTTCTTGACATGCGCGGTTGTGCTTGATACTCAGCCTGATACTAAGTCGGCGCGCCTGCGTGTGGACAGGTATGCGCGGCTATCTTTGTCCCGCCTACCCTGCGACGAAGCCGAATCAGATGAACTGGGAGGTACTATTAACGTTTAAATTGATTAAGGGGGGATTGCTCTGCTTGCCTCATTATACTTTGTGCCCTTGAGAAAGGTGGTTAATCCACCGAAACGCGCGTTGGGCTATGGGCTATTTTATATAGCTAATTTAGTTTATTTTGTTTTTTTCTGTGTTCCTACATTATGGTTTAGTGGTACCGAGCGTTTTTTGAAGCTCTGGTTCTCTTATTTAGTGATTAGGGGGGGTTGCTCTTTGGGATTAGGCCCTCAGACCTAGCCTTTCTGTATATAGATCTACAATTAGGTATTTCTGCTTTATTTTCTTCCCTTCATTTATGCCTCCTCTATCCTTTCGATTTCCATTCCATATTTAACCCTGTAGGTACAGCAGCAGAGTTTTTAGGCTACTATTGTGGCTTACACTGTTACTTATTGTTTCACTCTATAATTATTTTGCCACATTTTGACATTGCTAGCCATACTCTGCAGAGATTAGTATATATTTTTCTTTTAGTGATTTTTTCAGTACAGAATTTATGGCTTTTCATACTTAATACTGTAGGTACTCTTCCGTACAGATACTTATATTGCCTATTATCTTAGTACGGTATCTATAACTTAGCTATATTTTATATTCTGTATTGGGCCTATAGTGCACAATCTATGGCTTGTATGTACTTATATATGTACTATACTTTACCTATAGGTATCTGACATACCATACTATACTATATGTACATATATACATCGGCCATACTCTGTCTTTATGGGCTCCAGTTATTCACTTGACTTATGGTTAGATGTGTTTTCTCTTTTTGATTTTAATAAGGTTTTTTCCCAATAAACTGTTTATTATTTTTGAGACGTTGTTGTGGGGTGGCCTGGAGATGATCAGCCCGGTTCTCTATGAGGCGATCAATTCTCCATTTCTGTTATTTCTCTTTATGTATCCATTATAGGGTCATGCCCTTTTGCCATCCCATTCACCCATTTTTCGGTACTCCAAGTTGGGCTGTCTAACTAGGTAGTACTATTTATTTAAGCACTATTATAACTTGATCCGTATTAAAAATTATTTATTTGGACATTTTAGAACTACTTTAAGACCAAGCGGTTTGGATACATTGGAGAATCTTTTTGCTGCTCATTCAAATAAAAACATATTTTTGAAAGTTAAATGTTTTTTTTTAATCTTTGGATAAAGTAAACAAAGTTAGTTCCCAAATCGCTTGGTCTAGAGATCTAGGAATAGTAATAGATAGCAATGCATAGGGAAATAGCTGGATACAGGTGGAGAGTTATACACTGTCTAAATATCCAATAATTACATTATAAAATTAAGCACAGATGGCATTTTGTCCCCACTTGCATGCATAAAATAGATCCAAATCACTGTTTTCTATGTTGGAGATTTGGTATACGAGATGGAACATTTGAACATATTTGGTGGTCGTGTAGTTTAGTCCACAATACATGGATTAACATTTTCCAATTAGTTTCAGATATTCTAAAGATAAAAATTAGAGCATTCCCAGAAAAAGCCATATTACATTTAAACCTGGATAAGATCAATAAAGATGGTAAATTTTGGACTATTCAGATATTCATGGCCAAGAAGTTGGTAATCTCTAAAAACAAGAATTACCTATATTAGCAGTCTTAAATCAATAGACTTTCAAGCTATGATAGAAAAGGGCTATTTTTCGACATTTCAAAGATTTGACTCTTATATAAAAATGTGGGAACCTTGGATGAGCTTTTATCCTGAGGGTTTTAAAGTCTAACTCTTCCTTTCCTACATAAAGGTTTATAAATCTAAGGGAGAGGACTCACCCCAGGCCTGCGCAGACCATGTCCAATTTGTTTTATTGTCTTTTTGATTTTTTTATTATGACAGACTATTACATGGAATATAAATTATGATAAGACATTTTGGTTGATGGAGTTATGTAAACAAAATTTAAATCTGTATTAAATTCTGTTTGTTTATATTTGTATGTGATAAATTTACAAAAAATAAAAAAAAATTTGGAAAAAAACTTTTATATTGATGAAACAATGCTGTATCATTCAGAAGCAAGTGGCTTCATTCATGAAAACTCATGAAGAAAGCTACTCATAAAATTAATAGCAGGTTTTTTTAGTTTGCCATGTAATAACTTTAAAACATAAATATTTTTATACTTAACAAATACATTTTCTACTGATATATTATTGTTGTTGTTTTTGGTAAATTAGGCATAATTATAGTACATTTCATTCAGGAACGTTCCAATCTCTCTATATATGCACTTAAAGATTGTTTACAAAATGCTAAAAATGTTTTAACAATCTGTTATATGGCTTGATATGGCATCTTTAAAAGTAAAAAAAAAAATTAGACTTTGCATTAAAAATAAATACATTTTTCCACTTCATGATAAAAAATAAATAAGAAAAATATGACAGTTTCTTTTCAGGTTTTCCAACTCCTCCATAATCAGTGTTGTTCAAGAACTCAACTGTGTCCAATACATCTTTTTGACAAGTGTCTTCTCTTCCTTATATGTACATTATTCTTCCACTTCTGACTTGTCAGCCATACCTTTTTCAACTAATAATACCTCCTGCTCAATCAAATGGATATAACTCTAGTGAGATGCAGTTTTTCTCACATTCATCTGAAAGTGTTGCTTTTTTCTACAAGTATAGCAAAAAACAAAACTGTGTTTAACCTTTTTTTCTGCTAGAATAACTGCAAAAACAGATGATATGCAATCCTACTTTAAATGGGTAATCTAGGCATGAATACATGTTCAGTACAATGTTCAGGTTAGGTTACATTAGCTTTTATATTGATCTTCTTTGATTTTTTTAATAATTAACTTTGTTGCATAGTCCCACCATTTTGTGTCGACCTCTCACATGCAATGTTCTCTTTGTTCCCCATCAATACTGCTGTATCGGTTGTCATTTCGAAGGTGT